TAAAGTTGTGTGTTTGTACAGTATCAATACAGTAACAATTTAACTGAGGATGAGATCTTGAAGGGTTAAAATTATTTTTTTATTGCACCTGGACTTTAGGGCAACTTGTACCAAAAAGACTTGTTTCTAGCTGCAGTTTGATGTGACGTATGACTGGAACTACAATGTTTGGTCAAATTAGTGAAAAAGTTACGATGATTGGACAAAAATGCAAAATTCAATTAATTTTAGTTTATTGCTGAGCAATAGATTTACAATCATAAATCTTCCTAGTATTCTTCGAAAATGATTTTCCAACTTTCAGCCATAAACTCTGCTGTTTCCAGTCCAGTGAAGTAAATTTAGTGACAGTTCACAGTTTAACTTCTTGGGGTCTGATAATTGCTGAGGATGTATGAGGTTTCATTTTTATAGACTGATCTGAGATGTGAAGACTATCTTCTGTAATGAAACAGATGAATTATGTAGCAGTCATCACTAAACATGATAATTATGAATTAAATAATGAATTATTTTTAGCAATTATTTTTTGTTTATTACATATTTTGGAATTTCAAAATAATTCTTACAATAATCTTAATTCTGAACTACAGTTAGTCCTTAACGTTTAGTTGCAGTCGAGATTATAAACTTTTATTATAAACTCAAATGTCTACTGCATGAACACATTCATTTCAGTGTTTTCCAAAAGGAGAATCTGATGTTTAATACAGAGTGCTTGAATTCATACTGTAACTTGACTTGCATAGTTAACAGTGCTCATACAATTCTGTTATTTTTTTCTTTAAATAAATCTCTAAATGGACCCACAGTGATATTGTCTTGTTTGTCTTTCAGCCTCATTTGCAGTCAGTTAAATGTATCTTATTACCTTCTTCTGTTTACACAAAAAGTACACAAATAAAGGTTACAAAAGGTTAGTTAGCTTAGCCTGGCTGTTTCCTGGTCAGCCATGGTTACTTCAGCTATACCCGAGTTTGATTTCAGATAATCTGCATTGTTACATATATTTTGGTTTTGACCAGCTGCTGGACTGTTGCACTTGGATTGAGCCGGGCTGATGACCTGACCTGTCAGCTAGCTTGGCCTGGTTACTTCTCGGCCAGCCAAGTTTCTGCTGGTAGCTACCTCCAGGGTTCGATGTGCGTTGCTTTTGTGGGACTTGAAACTTTATTTTGTACTTTCACACATGAATGACATTCAATTCAATTCAATTC